TGGTAAACCAAATCTTGGAAGTCGCAGGATTTTCAATGATGAAAAATCTGCCATGTTCAATCTGATAGAGAGCGACTCTTGCACAAAATTCTACCATGGGAAGATACTTTTTCCTTTTCTGATAAGTATCGGCAGGATCATTAATATTCTGCATTTGACTCCATGGTCCACAAACAGGTGCCATGTGGATGATTTTTGGCTGTTGTCGCTCAGTGACTTCCATTGCCTTTCGCCGGCCTTCGGCAGTGAGCAAGTCGTAACCTGTGCGGAGGTCTATTGGAGCGCCGACTCGAAGTCCTTGCATTGCTGCCGCTTGACTAAGCTTGGCGGAGCCGCTAAACAGCTCAAGGAAATCTAATTTTCCAGTCATAGCTGGCTCCCATGTATAACAACCATATGTAATACCTTCAGGACCTGTCTGAATGGCATCGTGTTCTATGATGTTATTTGCATGGTCGTCTGAGCGGCAAGTGGACTTCACTGCTGTACAGGCGCCCTTGGCCGAAGATTCGGCACCGGCGGCAGCTTTGGCCGAAAAGTCGGCACCGGCAAGTGCAATTGGTTCTAAAGGAATGTCTGTATCCTCAATAGGATTATGGTCTTTTCTTATTTTGCTGATATTGACCTTCACGATTCTGGTTCCTAAATCAACTCCAACCATACTGCCATCTACGGAAACCAACTTCCCTTTTATCCATTTTCCTCCATGTGAACCGTCTGATTTGATTTTTGATTTGTCTTCGGTCCAATAGTAAACTTTATCTCCAGGAAAGAATGGTCCATCACTAAGTTGAAGTTTACTCGCTATATCTCTTCGAAGGTCATCAGATTGTTTTGCCTCTAGAAACTTTCGCATCGCCAGTGACCTTAGTGCTTCAATCTGTCTCTCAGGAGCAGGGGCCTCAGTCGTGAGCTGTGCTGGATTCATGAGCTCAATCGCCGTAAGATCGGCAGGTCTTCTGCCAAGGGCTAATTCAATAGGAGTGACACCACCGAGTGTTACCATGGTGTTCCTTGAAATGCAGGCTTGTCTCAACAACTGTTTATAAGTAATGTTGGCAAGTAATGGATCATCTTTCAAGGAAATTAGCATTAATGAGACCTGTTTCTTAAACATACGAATGGCTGCCTCAGCTCGATTTGGCCATGGTGTTCCTGGTCCTAGAGAGATTGGCCTGATGCTGTGCCGGTTGTAATAACTCTCCATCTCAATGCCCATGAAAGCTTGATCGGCAACAATGTATTTTGGATTCAGTTGATAAGTTTCAAAGTATTCTTGAAGATGGGAAATCGTCACCGGATCAGATCTGTTTTGAACTACAAAAGCAGTAGTCAGAGAGGTAGCACCATCATACATAAGTAGGAATTGAAGTTTTGACTGTTGATTGATTGGAACTTCTCCATGATCAATGAAGGTAAGTTCACCAAAGACTTCACTTCGGATTCCTGAAACCTTAGCTCTCGATGGTGCAATCCTGGCAGTGGAACATGTGTCACATGATTTTGTAATCTGATCAAATTTGTCATAGATTTCTTTTGGTAACTTCAGAGCCGATGTTCTTCTCTTGAATTGTTCAGTGGTCATGTGATAATGCTTCAAATGCAACTTGAGAAGTTCAGTGGGTGATTGAAGCTTATCATGAATTCTCTGAAGTGCTAGGGACAGAGTTCCCTTAGGTGACGGTTCCTTTTTCTCTTCAAGTTTTACTTCAACCTTTGGTTCCGGTTTGACTTCAGTTTCTTCTTCAATCTGAGGTTCCCGACGTCTTGGGATACCGTCCTTCGAACCGGAACTTGGCCCAGAGGCCACCATTGGCTCATCATCGGGATCAAAAGGTTGAGCTGGTACTTCTAACTTACTATCAGGCGGAATTGTTTTCTTGACAATCTTCTTAGAATCAGGCTTGGCCGGTTTCGGCACCTCTGCAGGCTTAGGCTCTGATCCCTTGAATCTCTTGCAACCTTCTTTGTTGGTGTGTGGTCGATGTTTACCATTGCATGCTGGGCATGTGATGTCTTCGGACTGAAAGCTGTACATCGGTTTCCAACTGGAAGTAGCAAGAGCCATAATGTCAAGGACTGGATGGTTGGATGTACTGACCGCCAATGCGGTGCGTTGCATTCCAAACAGTGGACAGGTCATGAACTCACCTACAGGAGTGTGCTCAATGTTCATGCGAAGATTCCTCATTTGTTCAACTGAAAAAAGGATAGGAACCTTACCCTTGTCCAGGATGTCAACGCATGTTGTGATCCAACCAGTTTGTGCACGATCATTGCGGAAATGAATCACTAACCTTTCTTTGACTGTAGATTGTTCTCCATTGGCAAATGAAAACTTACTTGAACACGGTTGCTTGGAAAACCATTTGTGATCACGCTTGGGATGTTGTTGGCAAGCCTGTACAAGGCGATCAATGGCAAAGCGGGATCCCATGGCTCGAGTGCAACCTGAGTCAAGAATGACATAAGTCGGATGAGAACCTAGATCTACATATTCACAAAGCAATGCTTGTTGGGCACCATGATCATAATTCAGGAATACACACTCTTCCGTAGAGACGGAATCGAGCGGGCTTGTGCGCGGCTGAAACGAATGCAGCTCACCGTTTCCGGTAGAAACACTCTTCTCAACTTGGCGGATGCTCTTCAATAGGGACCTGTTCAAATCAGAAAAGCACTGGTACATCACAGACACGAACAGAAGCACGAGTGCGAGGGCTTCTACAAGTTCGTGTCCGAACAATTGGAACAAGCTGATGCCTGAAAAACAGAACCGGTTGATCTTGTCGGTCTGTCCGTCCTCGAAATTGACGTCTGTATGCTTGTCCTCGGAGTTGGTCAGTTCCTCAGCGGAAACAAAATACGACCAATTGTACCAATCACCTTGGGAGTAATCTCCGTCATATCCATAGTAGGATTCATAACCTGACCAGTCATCTGTCCAGTAGGTGTCATAGTCGTAACTCCAGCTTTCTTCGGCATGGGCTGTTTCTTGTTTTTCAGGGGCTTGTGATGCACTGGATGTTGCAGCCTGTGCTACATTAGCCTGTGGAGGTTGTGACAAAAATGGATTGGTTCCTCCTTTGTTCTTCGCATCACCTTTTCCTTTTCCTTTCCATGAAGGCATTCCTTTGAAAGAATCCTTTCCTTTCATCATTCCTTTCTTGCCCTTTTTACCTTTTCCTTTGCCCTTGCCTTTTCCCCAGAAAGCTGTGTCTTGCTGGTCATCTTCCCATGCTGCAAAACCTTTGCCTTTTGACCTCGAGCGGAAGCCGGGTCTTGATTTCTTTCCTCCTTTCTTGCCATAACCTTTTGGTCTACCTTTCTTGAAGGACCTGCCGTAGATGCGGCGCTTAGAGTATGAACCCTTGGTGCTGAGAACCCAGAACTCGTTCTCCGTGTACAGACCTGTGAAACCTTCTTCACCCGTCTCTTCATCGAAGACCCAAAATCCGTACTCACCTTCCTCGGTCTCGCCCTCGTCGATGACGTAGAAGTTGGACCGCTTGCGGTGCGTGATATTTGGGTCTGCAACACCTGTGCGGGAAACGGCAAAAAGTTCTAAGAACAGCTGTTTCACTTGGAGATAGGTGTATTGAGGCATTGCAATCTGACGGATGTTCATGGACGAGACAAAGCGCTCTCGCTGTTGCTCGTTGAGGTCTGCTTGCACTAGAAAAATCAGTGACATCAAATTGTCTGACAATGGAAACTGCTGTGCATGTCTGGTCCTTCTGTTGGTTATGGTCTGTTCTCTCAGTTCTTGTTGATAAGCTAGCTTATCTTCATCTGTTACTATTCCATTATAGTGCAGTCTTTGCTCATCTGTGAGTGCTGCTGTAAATGCCTGAGTGCCTGCCTCGGGGAGATCGGATATGTCCAGCAGATCGGACCAAGAAGCCAACAAACGCTTCTGCGCGATCTCAAATCGCCCTATCCAGTGCACGAATTCGCTCTGGCCTCGATATGTGCGAAACATCTGGAGGAATCGCCAAAGGAACACATGATTTACTCCCTTCACGAAGTATGGTCTCAATGTGTCCTTGACATGAGCGAGGCCACGATCCGGATCTCGGAGTAGGGCATTATCGAGCATCGACTTATAAAAAGAAGCGGAACCAATGAGGGCATTCTTTAATGATGGTCCGTGCTTATCTGCATCCAATGTTGTGATCCCTAACCAGTCATCAATTAAATCTTCATATTCAAACCAGCTTGATTGGCCATCAAATTGGGGTGGAACCTTCGGTGTCATTTTGATGCCCATCCGGTTTTCGGAATGACTGGTGGCGGCATATGCTTCAGGCTCTTCATAAGAGACAATCTGGAGTTGTTCTTCATCTGAATCCATGTTGTGGATTAAGACCATGGCAGCTACTCTAACTTGACCTACAGGTTGCCTCCGCAAGTCCGATATACGGAATGTATGCAGAGAACGGCAGTTCGGCACACAGATCTAGACTTGGCGAAGGCACAGGCTGCGCTACCACTTTGAGGTAGCTATCCCCGGATTAGGGGAGCCCTGAATTACGGATCTAACACCTGCGGTCAGCAGCGAGACTGCAACTCTTTTCTACGCGGCTTTGCTAGTCTTGAGCCATGCGGAGTGCGCATGAAAGATATGAATTAAGTGTACATGTCAACATGCATGAATGCATTGTGTAGACACGTAAAACAAAATAAACCACAGGGGGAAAAGTGAAAATTCCCTAGCTTGGGGAGCCCCCACAGGGGGGGAAAGTGAAAATTCTTAGCTTGGGGAGCCCCCACGGGGGAAAACCACCCTTAGCCCCTCTCACGGACCGAAATAAACCTGCGGTGTGGGCGGCCACCCCACGCGAAGCGGGGTGAATTAAACCCAAGGTAGCGGAACCGTATGAGAACTTACCAGTCATCCATATTTGGTCAAATAATTCACAAACAGTTTGGTCGTTGTTAGGGTCACTGTTGGTCACTGTTCACTGATTCAGAGCTTCCCCGAAGTCTGGGCAGCCGACTGCTCGCGCACAGAATCCTGCGGGATCCTGCAGAAACTATTCCAATTCTGGGATCAAACTGATCAAACCTGCGAACTCAAACACGTCGCGACGTCGCGTTTCAAACCTCCCAAGCTCCTCGGCGAGCAACATGACTTCAACCGTCAAGTGCGGCAGGTGGTGGCTCAGTGGCTCAGTGGCTCATTATCTTTGGATCAAGAAACACTGAGTGGTTCAACTGGTTCTTTGGTTCTTGCGACCTGGCAACTTGACATCTCCATTATCATTGTGTAGTGAGTGTAGCGAGTGTAGCGACATTCCATTTTCTGAGGATTTTCCACTACTGCTTGGGTTAAGGTGGATAGGAAAGGCAAGAGTCCCATGTCACTCAGCTGCCGGATATAGAGCCACTGAAAATAAGGCATCCCAAAATCCAAGGATTTCTCATCATCCTCAAATTGCAAGTTGGGGGTTGCCATGGGTTGCCCATATTGTACCCAGACCCAAACTATGTGCTGGATTCAACATCGCTGTTCATTGGCTCACAACACTTTTTCATCCTGCAGAAAACCAGCGGAGAGTCTTCTTTTGCCACTAGACTTCAGGACACAGCAGTTACCAAAAAAAATCATATGAGAATTGGCATTTGATTTCCTTTCTTCTTGTTATGGTGGTAATGGATGGTAATGGTAGTTTTTGACGTTTCGAACGGTTTTTGATTTCTCTTTTCTTTATGGCTGCTGCGACTGTTCGTTTGCGTGGTTGCTGTGCCTGATGCTCAGAACAGGTCTGAGATAACCAAAAAACTCATGGTGAAATGTGCACCTCTCCTAATCGGCGCCCACAGCTGTTGCCAATCTAAATTTTGGGGTATCAAATCCACCAATTTATGATGTGGTATGCTGTGGGAAACCCATGCCCTCTCTCAAACAAATGACCAAATCCCAAATCAAACTCAAATCAGTGTGGATTCGTGGATTGTAGATATGTCATGATATTTCCAAATAATCCAAAAACATCCAACAAAACACCCAACTGGATGAATGATCGCTGGGCCCATTCAACTTGACCTCCGGAGGTGCGCGAAAGTCTCGCAGGCTGCCTTCTCTTAATCAGGCCTTGTGCCGCGCCTGCTTCCTACATTCGCCTGGGGAAGCTGCACCTGGGGCCTGCTGCAGAATTCCCGCATTCTGCGCGCAGGGCCCAGGACACAACGAAATGGTTGACCATTTAAGAAGACGTGAAACATCCTGAAACACAGCTGCGATTGAAAGTTTGAACATGAGCTGCAATATGCCAAAAATATCCAAACATGGCAGATTCCCAATCATTGTCTTTGAATTGCGTGCTGGAGTGCACACGAAATCATTGTCTGTACGATCCTTTCATGCACTACTGGAAGCATTCGCTTCCCTTTCAGCTGTCAGAAAATCAGAATTTCAACATGCCTGTGCACCAGGTGATGAAAAACAACTGTGGATTGCATACTTAGCTCCCTCACCACCAGAATGTCAAGTACACTACCTGTCTAATTCATTCTGATACTATATGTCATCCCCCTAATATCCCCTAATAGTAAATACCCCCCAAAAGGATCCATATATGTGTAAATCCTTACTAAACCATGGTTTCTGTGGGATGTTTAGTATTAGGGGGATGGGATTATATGTCATCATCAAATCTCACCTGACCAAAATCCAGTACGGTTTCCAACCCTTAGGCCTCGCCAGGTACGAAGGCTGGCCTCAGTCCCCGATCACCGAGCTGGTTCGGTTTGTCAGCGCTCATGACTCATGACTCACATCCACAGATATTGGTTGTAGCCAGTTCTAGCAAAAATTGATTAACATTGTGTTGTTGGTTTGTTTTTGATCAAGCACTGATTCCCTGATTGCTTGCTGCATCAGTGGCCAATCATAAAACTTCTTTATATTCGATGTAACCACAAGTATGCAAAGATGTTTTATCCCGCTTTTTGCTTGCAAAACGGGGATAGCATGGGATGGCTCTATCAAAACCCGGATTTCTGTGCAATTGTTGCTATAAAACCATTCAATTTGTGTGAACACTGATATTTTGATATATTTTGAAGCCGCATCCAGTCATTCAAAGTCTTCAACCCTAGAAATCATAGACCCTAAAAATGGTGAAATATCAACCCTACATAGAAATCAAGGACCTATTATGACCTATTAATCATCCTATGTAAATTAAATCCTAGGTATGTTGGGACTACACCCGAACGCTTTTTTTTCCGAGCCACGCATCTGCTCGGAGCTCCTGTGAACGGTCAAGTGGAGATACCATTAGATACGACGTACGACCGTTAAATGAATTGATTGTATCACGACTTGTATCATGACTTGTATCCATGAAATCAAATTCCACTTGGATCTATGTATATCATGTATATATGGATTTCCCCAAATATCGATTTCCCATAGAATTTGAGAAAGGTGTGACTTTTCTATCTGTTCTTCGAAGTGGTTTTTCATATCGCCGGATTTAACTAGGCAGCCCGCGGCCCGTCCTTGGTATCCAAATGGGCTGCAAGACTCAGCCTATCTTCGGCTGATCTCTGGACCAGGAAGATTGGTAAGTGGCAAATTGCTGCTTCAAATGGCAAGAATCCAATAGACCAATATGGACACATG